AGTCTATAAGATATGTGGTAGTTCATTTACATTAGAATTAGATCATGTACATTTCCTAAAGCTGATCTTTTTTTGATACAAGGTGATCTTTAAAACAGGAAGAAATTTCCTCATCCAGAGGACTGTAAGCTGACCTTGCAGAGGAATGAAGTTGAAGATCTATTAGATTTTTCCACATCTACATTCTATTATCCCTGGTGAATCATCCCTGGTGAAAGTAGGACAACCCATTTGACTTCAATGGAGTTGCCCTCTTTAGAGAATTGCATTTTACGTTACATGAATAAGCAGTTAATGTGTTGACTTGTTAATACTGAAAATATCACTTAACAGAAATAATTATAATTCTTCCCTTTTATAATTTCCTTCCATTTGTGTGCTTGTTAAAAAAGAAACATTGTATTACACTTTTCTTATCACACTTTCCTAATTTTCTATAGCTGATATAGTTTTCAGGTAGAATAAACTTGTAGGTCTTGATTCTGCTCTCATCCACATACAAAGTGGGACAATGTGGGGACAAATCATGCAAGTAGCTTTGCTGGTTTCAGACACATTTTAAAATCATAAGAACTAGACTGAGACTTCAAGCACCAACCAAGAAGTAGTCCCGGGAGGCATTTTGATTAATTCACACCCCTCTGAGGCACAATTCCTCCTTTGCTTCCTCCTTATTCCCGAGGGGTGGTAATTTGCTGCTGGCCTGCCCAACAGTAGAGTTGATTGAATGTTATTCTGTCAGAAAATGCTCTCATCAAAATCAAAACTTTCCATATCAACTTGTCAATTTCAATAAAATTTCATTTTCAAAAGCAAATTGAAATGAAGCATTTCATAAAATGTTTTGTTTTGACTTTATCAGAATGGAATGTTTCAATTTTTGGTTCTAAATGGCATTTTAGAATTTTATTGTGTTTTATATTAAAATTGAAACTGGAACAAAGTGTTTCAATTTTATTGGAACAAAATATTTTGATTCATTTTTCAGGCAGTTTCAAAATTCCTTGTTTTTGTTCCAGTTCAAAATGAAAACATATTTCAAAATTGCATAATTTCCTGCAAAATGGCCCTTCTGGTTCCTGCACAGCTCTAATCCGCAGTAAATTACAATACCCACAGCTCTAGCCAATTAACTATTAATTGACTAGGCAGTAAAGTGGGCTTGTACCATCCCTCTTGTCCTGCACACCCATGCCTAAGGACCAGGTATTACCCATCTAGAGATGTAAAGTGGGCCCTTTTTTGCCTGTGTAGGAGTGGAGGCCAAGTCACAGTTTAGCAACACACATACGCATATCATATGTATGTTGACCACAGAGTTTCAGTTCAAAATTACTTCTCTCACCTTCCTCACTGTGATTACTATGTTATGCAATGTAAGGAAATGACTAGGAAGCATATTATGGATTCAGCAGACAGAAGGAGGTACTGTACTGTGAAGAGTAGACATAATCACACTAGATCCAATCCTATATAGGGTTTTATGTATGGTTGGAACACTGACCATATCTGACCATCGTCTTGGACTCACCAGATGTGCAAAAAAGATTTTTCAAAGAAAAAGGGCGTTTTATAGTGTAAATGTTGCTGGCCTGGGAAGCAGGCAAAGATACAACTACTTTTCCCAGTTATTTGTTTTTTTATTGATGCAGGGTTTTTTAAGACATAGGGCAGAATGGAACTCTCTGTACATGTTAGTTTCACTCGATCGTTTGTCACTTTATCGCCTTCATAAATAAAGTGCATGAATAAACTATCAAAGGAAAGAATGGAGGAGACAGCTTCAGCAAGTATTCTACAGTAACTGAAGCCAGTTGAAATACAGGACCATTACCTCAACACTCCGACTGTTCTAGAAAGTTCTTTCCCTTCCACTATAATCATCCTGGTTTAAAAAAAGAAAAATTGCGACATTTCTAAATGGAGATGAAGATTTTAAAGTTTTACTTTATATTTAATTCAAGAGTATCATTCTATAAATCAAACAGCACGCTAAATTTCAGACAATATGGCTATCTTTCTGGAAAATTATTATTAATATCCTCTTGATTTTTTAATCTTCTTTTATAGTGTTTGTACATATCTTCCTTGCTACAGAAAGTTTTAGTCTCATGTTTTGGTGATTTTTAAAAAAATGAAACAAAATGACTACATATTTTTTAATGCTCACGGTGGACCTAAGGCACAAAGAATACATGCTCAACATGGCAACTCATGCTTTGGTGAGTTCTGTGGCCAGGCACTGACTAGACATCTCATATCCCCATCTCCCCCTTCTAGAAGTGGGGGAAAGTGGGCAAAAAAGAAATGGTTAGATTCCCCTCAAAGCTCCATCTTGGGTCCCACAAAGCTTAAGAATGGCCCCACTGAGCTTGTTAGGAATTAAATTAGAATATTACACGACAGAGTAAAATTATGTACATATCATCCATGAACAAGTATGGTTTCTATCCTGACCCAAAACAGCTAACAAATTATATGTTGCTTCACAACTCACCCCCTTCTTGTTGTTTTGTTTTTTTTGGGGGGGGGGAGGTTGGCTTTTTTTTACAAGTTAACACAGAAAAAGGAAACACAAGCCCAAGCCTTTCCTCCAGGCTTTGCTGGTGCTAGGGTCCCCCTCTTAGTATTGCTCAGCACCACACACTAGATTTGTGTGCCTAAAGGAGCCATTCCCACCTCACTTATATCCTGGGAAAGTGAGCATCACCTGCCACATTGAGTCTGGAGAACTCAGCAGTGCTCTACATGTCTCCAATTCCACATAACAGGGCAGATAAAGAGAAGAATCAGGGAATCATCCTATTACTTTGTCAGTCTTGACCAGGGAAATCCATTTTAAGTGGCTGCCTTCTTAGGGAGACACATTTTGCATAATACTAAATATATGAAAAATAAAGCATGTACATTTGTAAAGATGGAAGTAGTTAAATTTTAAACCTGAGCAGATGAAATAATTTTCTGATCCCTGTCAAAATTTATGGAATTGAATAGTCCAATTTGTATCATTACATTGCCTGTCTTGTAAGTGAAGAAAGATACTCTCACTTTAGGCTAGGGTAAAGGGCATATATTTTGAGATACCACTCGATTAATTATTTTAAGACAACTATACCAGACTTCTCCACTCTTTGCAATTTACCTTTCCCCTGCTTTTTATTGTGCTCTCAAGGCTTTTTCTTGATTATGTCAACCCGTCTTTTCCTTTGGCTTCCTTTTAGCCACCGTAGACTCTCCTTTCAAACTTCTTTCCAGCCTTTTCTTTCCAGGTGCCCATTTTCTTATGCAAGTCCAAATATGCAAATTTTCCCCCAAAACAGACACAAGAATTCCTAGCACTTATAATAGTACAAATATTAATCTTCACGATGTACATGTAATATCAACACAATAATCATCAGTAAAAAGTCTACATTAGCCACCCTGTGGTTTCAAGGATACTGCTATATTTCCTTACAGGTCACAGATGTAGTATCTTAGATAGCACAGTGTTGTAAATGTTAAGGTTTTAGAGCTGGTGGAACCCTTTGTCCAGATTGACAGGAAAAGAGAGTTGCAAGGGTGGCTTGGCCAGCAGATTAGAAGAAAAGGGGTTGTTGCCCCCTTTAAGGCCCCTTCCTCCCTAGAGAGAGAATTTGCTTCATGGAAGAGGCAGGAAGCAGTTCAGCCAAACTCAGTTGGCAGGAGGACTTATCCCCTCTGCCACAGGTAATGGGAAGAGCAGGGTGGGTATTTATACCTAGGGCTGTGCCAGCAAAAAGCCCTCTTTTCTCCAGCTGTATCAGAAGAAATACAGGAGCACTGGATGTGGTTTTAAGAAGGCCACAACTTCATCCTTGAATGCCTGGCAGACAAAATTTTACAGTTCAGGTAATTCTGTCACCATTTCCATATACTCAAGGGCTCTGTCAGCCCTCTCCCTTTCCCATTCAGGTCCCAGCCAATCCGTTGCTCAGACCTCTACACTTCCCCCCATTTTAGGGTTAAGGGGGGGGGGCTATACTAGAGAAGGGTTGACAAGTCGTGGGAGCCCTGAACCCCCTTTTTCCACTCCTTTAAAGAATGCCACCTTTAAATCATTTTTCAATCCATTTTATTTAACCACTGTACCCATTCCCTATGGAGTACCTGCACTGAACATCCACCACAGAGAGGCACTAGCATGTAGCTTGGCTGAATTGCTGAGTGTGAGATTTGGGATTAGAGCTCCTCGTCTTGTGTCTGAGCTTAGTTCTTTAATCATTGGAACATACCTCTTTTTTATCCTCTTGGGCTCTCATTTTCATGTCTGCTGCCATAGGAGAGCTAATTTTCGTGCACATCTGATTTATAATAATAGACCAACACAATCCTCATTCCAGTCTGCCAGGGTTAAGCATATTAACTTAGTTCTTTCTGAGTGTACTTCACGGTCATGAGAACAAAACTCATTCAGAAGTTGATGGGAATGCTGCCACCCACAGTAACAGCTAGGAGGTAGAGCTTCTTCGCTTAATGCACTTGCCTCATTTCTGGGTATTGTTCCTTCCATTATTTCATTTCCCTCTTTTTGGTCCAAAATGGAAGTAGAAAATCAAATGTATTTCAATTATGATTCAACTCCTAATCTCGTTAACATATCAGCGGCATAAAATATTATTCCCTTTGGTGCTTTATCGTAAGATGTCAGAAGCTCTGTATAGAATATGTTCTGAGCTGGTAGGCTAATGCTGTGTTTTTTCCAGAGCTGACTGCATTACCAGTAAACTGGATATTCACGCTCTGCTGAAAGTGAAGGAATGAGATATGCTAATCTTTACTACAAATTCTGTAAGCGGACAACCAAACCTTCTTAAGATGCTAGGAAGGACAAAGCAATGGATGATAAAGCCACCCTCAGTTTGTGTTTGTTAAACACACAAGCAGGATCCTTGGGATCTTTGACAGTCACTGCCTCTGATATCTTTTTGCTCTTTCAGATTTAGTCTTTTACAAAAAATGTTCTCTTCTTCTGTTTTTAGCACAAGAAGAATGGGCCACAACCCGTTCCAGCCTAAAGGCACCGCCTCCAAGGTCAGCCCGAGGGGGTTACAGGGAACACCCCTATGGTAGATATTGAAGGTCCTCCTCATCTGTGACCTCAACTCAAAGACAATTAATAGCCTGTGGTCTCCACATAAACAGCAACAAGACAAGTAATAGTCCATTTCTTTTCTATCCTAGGGATTACTGCTCATGATTACCCCGTGTACTACTTGTATTTCCTATAACATTGGAGTGGCATTGGCATTAGTATTATTTTATAACACGGACTTAAAAAAATATCTTTGGCAAGCATTGTCTATAAACCATTTGAAGGATGATGTTCTCTTGGTTGTTATTCATTGTTGTGTGTAACTTTAAAAAAAGAAAGCATGATGCTGTTACAGATCTTGAGTCTCTCTACATACTAGCTAAGGCTGAGTTTTTGTTTAGGGTTGCTAGAAGACTGTAATATGAGGTTTTTTTTATTTTGAACCAGACAGTAATCAAGATGTAGATAAGATGTTTTAACCTGTCTTTTTTAATATATGTTAGTTAGATTAAGATGTTCGATATTAAGTTTGTAAATTTAATTTTAAATGCTGTTTTAATGGGGTTGAAAACAAGCAGCTACTGTATGTATGTAGCTAACTGAATTTGTTCAGTGTTTTAACCTGTATTTGTTTAAAAAAATCACATAAAGTTCCATGTGTAAGCTTCTCTAAATAGGAAACCATAATTTTGTCAAATATGTTTGCCATAATTTGTCAATAAAGCTGAAACCTTTTGTAACAAACTAAATTTGGAATTACTTGTTTTCTAGCTTTAAATGCCTGTTTTATTTCTTTTTCAAGAGATGCCTAAAATGTTTTATATATAAAAATTACAAAAATGAACCCAAGCTTGTTTTAAGAATTTTGTGTAAGACTTTAAAAGTTGTATTAATAACTTATGGTTGTTAAATAATTTAAAAGTTAACAAACTAAACTGTTACATGAATCATGGTTAGTAAACACTAATGTATAACATGTTAATGGAAAAAATTGCTTTAGAACAATAAATGGATTTTAAACTATCCTCTAAGCTTGATCTTGCTAAACACAAACTCTGATTGACTTGTTTGTATTAGCATGTCTCTCGTGAGAATGTAATGGAGTTTAAAGAGGTAAGATTACCACTTACCACTGTTAGACTGTCTAAATGCTAGTTCTTCAACCTTTGAGTTTCCCCGCACATTAAATATCCCATTCAACATGTAAGCATTGCATAGATTCACATACTTGTTTTCACTCAGAGGAGTGCGTTGACTGCATTTGCATAGTATATAACAATCTGTCTTGACAAACAAATCATCAGTGTCACTGCCCAGTTATTGCTATTCAACTTCAAAAACTTTATTTGTAATTTTCAGTGCTAAATATCACCGCCCTTGAAGGCAGTTTAGAGGGCTGATATTTCTTTTGAGACTATCAGACTTGATGGCTGATGATTATTAAGGAAATATGTCGCAGGACTCAAAGGATGACTAAACGTTAAACAGGTAACACTAATAGTAACTCTGTAATTTTGAGTATGCAACAGTAATGTTAAATATTCTCAGTTATTAAGTTACTGATAGTTAAAAAAGTAAACCTACCAAACCATAACAAATAGGTATATAGGCTATTAAAACAACTAATTAACATTAACTAGTGGCAACAAAATTATTTTACAAGATATAACCCTGAAGGTAATAAACAGAACTAAAATTAACAATAATAGTAATGCAACTCTTGCTAACAACAAATATATAACCTAAATTTTGATGAAAAAAACCTGAAGACTTGATGGTAGGGATGCCAAAACTGTTAATCCTTTAAATACAGTTTTTTTGTTTAAGGTGGCTTTTTGTCAATGTGATTGGTTTACTTTTTTGATGAGAACAAAGACAGGCTTATTGCTGTTCGGTTTGTGAACAAAATCTCTTGCAGCTGGAGTTGCATGCTAACTTTTTTGAATAGTTTGTGAAGCATATGTCCTGCCATTTGAATCTGAAATGTTGTTACAGTGGATTCAGTAGGTTACCTATTGATTACATTGAGTTTGTTCTGTCTCGCTATTTCAGGGACGCACAGGCAATGGACAGCTAAGCAGCAGATGTATTGAGAAGTGTTCAGGTAAGCTATGCCATACCTGATTGTTTTTAATTGAGTCTCTTTTCCTCTGTGACAATAATTGTATATATTTTTCTGTATTTCTTTTCATGAACATTTTAAAGTAGAGGCTTCACATAAATAATTCTTTCCAATTTTAAATAAAAGGCTGGTGAAGGTATAATGTCAACCAAAGAATTTGCTGTTGTTTTGTGTGATACTTTTCTGTATGTTGAGAGAATTGTTTGATTGCTGAAAAAATGAGTGGCAGCATATGGGATATCTGCAAAGTCATTTCCTGAACCTAATGTAAATAAAAGTAAATCAATCAAGATTTGGCCTTTTTTACCAGATTGTACATCACATGGGTTGTTTTCTATACTTATAATAAATAAAGTGCTTCATTCTTATGTATACTTATTTACCTTTAGAAGTTGGCATGAAACACAGGTACATCCATTTTAAGACCTCTTTTTGGTGTCAGAGTGGTGTAACACAACCTTAGGTCGTGTCTACACACAAAAGTTGTATTGCTGTAATTATCTGTTATAGTTAAAGCAATACAAATCCCTTGGTGTGTAGGGAGATATACTGGTATAAAAGGTGCTTTATACCAGTTTAGCTTATTCTCCTACCAGAAAGGGAATAAGCTATACTGGTATAAAGCATCTTTATATTGGTACAACTGTGTGTATATTGTGGGTTGTACCACATAACTATTATGGTAAAGAAATCAAACTCCTCACCAAAATAGTTATACTGATACAAAAACTGTGTATAGATCAGGCCTTAATGTAACTGAGATTCAGGCCCAAATAGTGTAAATTAAATTTCTCACCAATAGGTCAGATCTTTATTTGGGGCAAATTGGAGTAGCTCCTTTGAGTATGTGGCCCAATACATACAGTATGATAGAAGCATAGTGTCACCTAAGATTACTGTCTCAGGGCCCAATTTTGCAAACATTATTTGTGTTGAGTAAAATGGTTGCAGAATCGAGCCCTTAGGACAACGCTCTGTTGTAAAATATTCTACTTGTTCAAAAATAATCAGTGTAGTACTTGGAAGGATATAGCATAATTCAGTGTGTGTAAATATTTATGCAAATAGGTCATAGAATTTCAGGGTTGGAAGGGACCTCAGGAAGTCATCTAGTCCAACCCCCTGCTCAAAGCAGGACCAATCCCCAATTTTTGCCCCAGATCCCTAAATGGCCCCCTCAAGGATTGAACTCACAACCCTGGGTTTAGCAGGCCAATGCTCAAATCACTGAGCTATGCCTCCCCCAACAAGGTTTAGCAGGCCAATGCTCAAACCCCTGAGCTATCCCTCCCCCCAAAGGAGGTGAAATAGTTGTTTATTTCTTTAAAAGAAAATATGAAAAAATACCTTGAGATCACAGGTTTACATACCATTCTTACCCATCATTATCACAGACTGTTTCTTCTCACATTCCCAATGTGTTTTACAGCCAGCAAACTTTATCTTCGTAATAAGGAATCCATCCTATAACTAATTTATGAAACCATTACATGGGGCTATGTTCAGTCTAATTGTCATCCATCTTGAAAGCTTATGTGACAAGCTACTCTGCATTCCATATTAAACATCCAGTGTACGTTATGGTCAGCCATGATTCTACAGCTCTGAAATCAACCATCGTCACCAGAAAATATGTAGATGCTTTGCTGTTCAATTTTATCGATTGTGAAATGCTAGTTAGCAAAGAGGCAAGTTTTAGTTAGCAGGATTCAAACCCTGATTAGTTTTCTTCATAATGTCAAAAAAGCTAGTTTTGCTCATCTAAACTAAGCGTGTTTAATACACAGGAAGAGAAGCAAGGGCTGAAAATTGGAATTTCCATTGAAATCATTAGAAAGCTATTTGTTAAAATTGATTTATTGTGCAAAACTGTTTCATCTTAAAAAGACATTACTGCATTTTTATTCTGACTAGTTAAAAGAAAAATGTCTGGTCACTCTAGACTGTTATTTTACAAAACTATACAAAAATATTCCCAAAATGATACAAAGTTGAATATTGTTTTTATAGCTTTCTCTTTTAACATACAGTTGATTTCTTTGTAAAAATGCTCTTCTTTCATGATTTGCAGTAGCCAGTACATGTTCACCTGGTTAAAAACCTTTGTTTCGTCCATTAGGGATTCCTTGGGTAGGCTATTGTAATGTAAACATAAGCAAGATGTATTCCAAGTATTAATTGCTTTGAACAGATTCAGTGGGATTGGTGCAAAACTGTGATTACTGGAAGTGTTACACACAGAATTTTAAGACTACAATGGGAGAAGATTCACTGCTATTTGTGCATTCAGAAGCAGGTGACCTTGAGGGGTGAATTATTTCAAAGGTAGGAGGCAGCTTTAAAAATCAGTTCAGGGTGCTATCTGATCACTGCCAGCAAAAGATCCTGGGATGAACCAGAGTATCTTATGGCTTGCCAAGGCAGGACCTACCCACTTTCAGAGTTGCACCACCATCTACAGATTTCTGGCAGAGTAAAGGTTGCAGGAAGGTTGCACTCCTGTGCCCTCCTTTTTGGTGGACTTTCTGTGGCCAGGCATTCAAGAGCCTGGGTTCTGCAGACTTGTGCCGTTGGAGCTGATGGGATAAATTGAGTCATGTCCCTAGAATAGCAACAGTTTTAACATGGAAAATCCGCGAGGTTCATGTAACGATACCTGTTCCATCAGAGCTCATCTTACATCATTATATTCTGAAATAAAATGAGAACCTTTTAGATCTTCATATTAATATATTCGGTAACTCGGGAAATATGGTATATGGGGCCTGAACCTTCAAGAAGCTCAGGCCTCCTGCTAGTTTGTGAGGGCTCCCAGGCTTCACTGAAAACAATATTACAGTATATCTATAATGCTATCAGCAGGTCTTTCACTTACACTATCAGACATTTCTCAATGTTTGGATCGAATTAATTCCATAATGCAGGGACAATTACCCCTATATACTTGAATATAAGCTAATACAGCAATGTTGAAATGAGCAAAAATGAGTGACTTGCATATAAAATGAACTCCTCATACCAAGTCCACCCACAGATCTTGCCCAAACCACTTCACCTTATCAAATACCACCCCCTCCTAAACTAACACAGTGTGTGTCCTTGCAATGGGACATGTTTGAATCCATTAAGTTGAAAGTGATAGGACTAGGGTCAACACAGCGGGTTCATGCCCCATGTGAGACAAAGCACTGTGCTTCATAGCATCTGGAGTAGGATTGGACTTGTGAATTTGCTACTATGCAAATTTTCCTATCTGCAGAGGGGCCATGTCAGAGTCATGTTGACCGTTGCAGCCTTAAAGCTGCAGTAGCTACTAAATAGTGACTTGGCAACATGGGCCGAAAGATTCCTTCCCTTCTTAAAGCCATACAGCAACCCAAAGCCCAGCCAGCCAGTATTTAGGCTGGGCATGGGGCTGAGGATCTGGGATTTAATACAGCGACTTAGTTACCATAATTGAAGATCAAGACTAGTGTGTTTGTATGGGTCTATCCAATTAGATGACTTGATATTTTAGCAAAAGCACATTAACTAACTTTCAGAATTATAGTCCAAATAAACGATAAGGTTAAGAACAATGAAAGAAGTGTTTTGTTTTATTCAGTGGAAAAAAATAATTTGGGCCATGTGAGTGAAGTTTGCTTCTAGGGACCAATCAATCATGTACAATAATGGAATCATTTTCTTGTGCATGTTGTCTTGCTAATAGACAGTAGTCAAAAGGCTTGGATAAGTTGAATAATACAATTGCAAAGTTAAAAAATTAATGGCAGGATGAGAGACTGAAATTTAGAGGTAAAAGCATGAGAGAGAAAATGTTTTGTTGAGATCTGAAAAGGGAATGTAAATCAATAAGGCACAGACGTTCTGGAGGGTATTTCTGTCTGGATTTTGCTGCAGAGGGAAAAAAATTGTTCATCAGTAAAGTCAAGATTATGTGAAATATAAACAGGGATTCCAGGATTAGGCTTTTTTTGCAATGCACTGCCTCCCAGCATCACTACTGTTCTGGAAAAATCCCATACAAAGTGTAAGAAGGATAAAGGCATCAGAGTTCTATGGAAGTTACTTTAACCACCCTACAGAGTTTAATAGATAATTATATTCTTTCTATACTACTTTTAGACCATTCCATGGAATGGAACAGAGAATTATATGCCTACAGTAGAATTCTCGGTTATTCAATAATTCTATAAAAGGATAGTAAAGTCTCTAGGACTTTTTCATACATGTCACCTGATTTCTTTAAAGAGGATGTAGAGATACAATTGTGGGTTCCAAATAGGAATAGGTTGAAAGATTTGGCAAATTCTGAGATAGGGTTTTGTAAATTTATCTTAAATGCAGGTCAGTAATCTTTAGTAGTGTCTTTTTCATTATATCAAAACATAAATCTGAATTTTTTTGATGTGAAAATATTTGTTTTTGGGAGAGGCACAATATGTTTGTTAATTTGTTTAGTGCCTCGTGCCATAGCAACTAGGTACACTTATTACAAAAAATAGAAACATATAAATTACATATGCTATAAAAGCTGTCATAAAAAACAAAGATCCACATTACCAAAACTGTCACCAGCAATATTAGACAAAGTATATATCAGCCCCCTTTCACAAGCCAAACCAAAATAAAACCAGAAGACAATCACTTGAATGCTAAATAGAAAGATGAGATTGACGTGTTCTGAAGTTTGCTCTGCTCATTGAAAACCTGAGAATGCCCTGCAATTTGCCATAAGAAATTAGAAACTAAGTACTGTGAGCAAGAGCATCCCAGACAATCTGCATAGTTTGGGCCATGGATTTAGAAAAGTTGCTCAGGTAACTATCTCAGACCAGTTAGGGCTTTACAGATAATCACCAAAACTATTGTTCACTGGTTTATTATCTTATTTCATTCGTAGAACCACTATTGTAGTTATTAATTATGAACCTGATCCAAAGCCTCTTGAAATCAATGGAAGGCTTTCCATCTTCTTCTAT